TATGACCAGTATATGGAGGCTAGAAATATTTCCTACTTCTATTGTTGTTCGGCAACCTTTGGTAATCACTGTTAGACTACCAACACTTCTGGATAGTTTTTTTCTGTATATAATAGTAATAGGCAGACAGACTAGAGATGGCTCAAGACTTCTTCTGGATTAGTGATATTGTTATGTAGTGATAACTATCAAGCCAACCCTTCCTACAAGCAGCATCAGTAGTCTCATCATCAAGCTGTGTTTGCAATGGTCTTGTTCCTGTTGTTTTCTCTTGTCCATTCCGGCCCACGTGCTCAAACCAATGCGCAATCACTTTTTAAACACGTTTTACAGAAGTAGTCACAATCTTCTATTTATCCTCTCTAGCCATAAATGATAGCAATATGGTTGACCTGTCTCCACCGCTGAGCTCCAGTAGGTGGATATCACAGGAAATAATGTTTCTCTGTGTTTCCAAAGTCGGAAGACTCAAAAATTTGATTCAATGAAAGGCAGCATAACATCTTTCATTTTAACAGTCACAAATGCAGAAAAACTGCACTTTACAATGTACCGTTCCAATCCCATATTCAGAGTGCCAATTATCAAGGTTTCTACTAAATAACCAGCTGGAACTAAGCCAAACAACACTTTTTCAGTGGTTTATAAGCTGAGAACTAGGATATTTTCATGCCATATATATGACTTAATTTATTCACCTACATCACTGAACTTCAAAGCCAATGATTATTTGATATATATAACAATTAGTTAGTTAGTTAGTTAGTTAGTTAGCTAGTTAGTTAAATAGTTAGTTAGTTAGTTAGTTAGTTAGTTAGTTAGTTAGCTAGCTAGTTAGTTAGTTAGTTAGTTAGTTAGTTAGTTAGTTAGTTAGTTAGTTAGCTAGTTAGTTAGTTAGTTAGTTAGTTAGTTAGTTAGTTAGTTAGTTAGTTAGTTAGTTAGTTAGTTAGTTAGTTAGTTAGTTAGTTAGTTAGTTAGTTAGTTAGTTAGTTAGTTAGTTAGTTAGTTAGTTAGTTAGTTAGTTAGTTAGTTAGGTAGGTAGGTAGGTAGGTAGGTAGGTAGGTAGGTAGGTAGGTAGGTAGGTAGGTAGAAAACTGAACTGCGACATATCATCGTAGCAAATAATGATAACTGACATGACAGCCAATATTCGCTTCATCTAAAAAAACTATACTACAATTAGTTATTATCGATATATGTTTTTATCATCCTCATCGTCAGTAAAGTCAAGGATTCTAAATTTCCCACTACTTTATAAACAACACAATGTCTAGAATGAGACACATATATTTTGTCATTTCAATACAATTGCTATTCTCCCGAAGTATTATGACTTGTCGCGCACAACAGTTTTACTATCACTTTTATTGCTACTATTATGAAGTGAAACCTATATGGTCGATAAAATGAAAAGCATCAATTTGGAGATTCGTTGGGATATATTTATTGAAGGAAGAACAAGTATATTTCAGCGAACAGTCTCTTTTCGGCGATTTCATTTTCAAAGCTGTACAATCGGAAATTTACACATTTTTTTCCAGTCTAAGGATTTATTAGTTAAAAACGGTTTGTCAAGCATGGCATAACAAATAGTGTCAATAAATGAGTTGTCATTCGATGAAAATATTTAAAAAACTGATGAGTAGTGGATATTAATCAAAATAAGTTTAAACAAGAAGTTTGGAAACTGAATTGTGATCGGGCAGAGCATAGCAACAAGAATGAGTGGCAAATTTCTTAAGTGAGTAGTGTCAAAACAGAAAGATGAAAAGAAAAATAATGGGCGGAGTAGAGGAGACTGAAAACTAAGACCATGAAAGGAGAAGGGACTGAACAATCTTCATTTGTGTACACAGTTCAGGCTTCTCCATTTAGATGGCAAGAGCATCAGCGATGCAAAGAATACGAAGATATACAGTCTTTGGGAGGTTTCTTTTCACTTTATAAATGACTTTAAACGAGGAGGCTTTTGAGATAGAGTTATTTGTGTACCCGATGTGTTCAATTATAACACTCTTTATTGCTTCATTGTTACATCTTTTTAACCACTTGGGATAGTGTTATTAAACCCTTTCCGATAACAGTCACGTCGAACGACTTATATACCTGGCTCCACAAGAGCAGGTGAATTGATATATGCACATAGAAGTGGTCAGATGCGAACGTCTCTCCTTTGAGTTGTTAGAAATCGTTGGTGACAGGAGAATACTAGTCTCGGCGTTGATGCAAAGAATGTTCTCCTTAGAGTGTTTGATATCCTTTTTTTAGAGTATCAGCGACAGAATCACTTATGAAGTTGAGATTCATATAGAGTATCTTTTTTGGCACAGTGGTAAGGTTCTCTTTGCAAGGTTTAGGTTCGATTTGTTTGCCTATGAAGCGTGGTGGGAATCCGTTTTCAATCAGGATGTTCTTTAGAACGGAAATTTCTTCTTCTAACATATCGGGACTACAGATTAGTCTAATGCAAGTGGCAAGAGATATGATCAAATATCGCTTAAGACTCATAGGAACCCAACTACTAAAGTCCGTCAGTTAATCATTACACATTGGTTCTCTGTGAATTGGCCTGATTAACGTTCCATCAGCTGTTCTTGTCAGTTCTACATCAAGAAAGTGAATTTCCGATCGACTTTCGACCTTACGGGTGAATCTAGTTGCTGAGTGGCAGTTATTATTTACTGATTTCAGATTGATATTCATCATGCCTTGACCAACCAGTTAAAGAAGCACTGGAAACTAGGAAGCGCTAGAAAGCTGTTTCGTTGTAGTATGGGACTCAGCAGTGAGCACCCGTAACTCCACCAGGTATCGAAACCAGGACCTTCAGTTTTCGTGGCTAGCAAGTTAATGTGGCAGTACTGAAAACCATAATTTGATTGAAAAAACTGTTGTTGCCATTTCGAAAAATAGGATATTTTTGCCGATAATCCTTCTCTAATGTGAACTGTATCGTAGTTCATCCTAAAGCGATATGCATATCAAACGCTATACAGTTTGTTTGCCTTTGTTGAAAAAAGAGAAGTGGAAAACTGGGAAGGTTTCAATAATTTGTGATTAGTCGCATACTACTCTATACATCTGTCAGTAGCTAAAGTCGCAACCTAAAAGTAACATTTCGTGCATCTATTTGTTGATGAGCATGAACATCATTCAGAATGTCATTTTATTCCGTAAAGTTTTCATCAGTTGCATACAATCTAAATAAATAAATCATCAGTGGAAGAATGTTTCCCAAACTTTGTTTGAGGCGTCACGAGATGCAAGTTATTGGTTTAAATATCACAAAGGCACACTAAAAACGAAGTTGAAATCATCAAATACACCCAAAATACAGACACGTCATATGAAGCAAGGTGACGAGTGTTCTTCAGTGAGTGTGATGAAACCAGATATAATTCAGAAGAATGATTTACGACCGACGAGACCTCAGATGACGAAATTTGATATAAGACAATTCAGCCTTTTGTATCCATGCGGAGATTTTGTCGGCCACTAAACCACCAAGGATGATTTGACTTCCCAAGTATATAAGGTCGTCAACACTCACAGCCACTTCATTCTCTACTTTTAAACAACGTAAAAACACAGGCCAGTCCTGAGGAGATAAACAACGTTTCAGTGGTGAGAGATATCTCATCTTGTCACTCGACGTACACAGATGATTCTCCATCTCGCTAACGGTTTCATCTTTGTACTCTGAATTTACTGGTGAACTACTTGAAAAAAAATTAATCCATGTAAGTTAAAGTGACATAAAGAAGACTTCGATAAGAACATAAATGAAAAGTTTAAAATGGAAACGAGTAGATCTGATATGCTTCACACATACCAGTTGATGTAAACAACTCACCTGACTCCTCAATGCAAACTTTAGCAAACACGTACAGCCTTAGTGGAACAGTGACATGTTTACGACTACCGACTTCAATGATAGACAATGACATAAGACTACTCAGTAGATTTAGTTGAATACGGAGTTCAGCTCAAGAAGTACTACTGGTTTAGGGTACTGTTAAGTGTGTGTGCACCATAAAACCTAGTTGTTGAATAGATAAATATGGAAATTTCCATCAGACCATTTTAACCCACAACAGGTAAACACTTGATTCACAATCTATGTGAAGTGAATTAATGTAAAATGGTTTCATCAGTAACATAATTTTCGCACATTACTACTCAGTATAAAAAGACTTTTTCCAGAAAGACCCCAAAGTAATATATTGATATCAAAATTCAGTTTAAACAATCCTTTTATTCCCCCCTAAAAGTGATGAATGACCAATTAAAAGGTGAAACATTTTTTTGCATCCTCATGATTTTTGTAGCTATAGCTCAAAAATTTTTTAATAAACCTTCCAATTAAAATCAATGTTACTTTACTTACCTCATACACTTCCTTCATTGCTTGTAAAGACAAGTTTTGTTCAGCTGTACAATTTGCGCTTTCAGTTGTAAGACATATATTGTGCTTCACTGCTCACGTGGTCCGCTTCTCACTGCCTATCCCTACGACCAGTACTGAAAATGTAAAGGAAACTCATTGGCTCTCTTCTGAAGTATCAATATTCTCCCCTATGGTATCAATTCTACAGAGTCATTACAGTCATCGAATCAGTTGACTCTACTTTTTATGTTTCCAAGAGTAAATCTGTAGTATACTGGAGAAAAGATACTGTTTTAGATACTTCTCTGCACTCACTGACTTTTGGTTATTTTATCTTGATACATTCGTGCTTAAGTATAACGGACACCTAGAGTTTCGTGTTAATCACTTCTGAGTTCAATTACAGATAATTTCACTACAGATATCTATAAGCAGACTATGCGTTGTACATCAGAGTATCCATGCACAATACTCACAGTCAGAAGACAAAAACTCTATGCATTTTCTACGGCATCATCAACGATAATAAAGCATACATAGTAATCACGCCTACATCATCCAATTTAAAAGATGAAAAATCGATATATTGGTCTGATCACCGTTATCAAATAGACACATATGTACTAAAAGAAAATTGTGGACTGTAGATGATCAACATTAGTAGCAGTAGTAGTAGTAGTAGGGAATAAATTAACACTACCATTTGCATTCAGCTAGCAAAATACTAATCATTTTAAGATATATAAAGATAAATAATTTTCACATGGGTTGTGGAATCAGTAAATCTCTGAACGTAGAACCTATTTCAGTCAAACGTTGTACGAACTCAGAGAGTGAATGTATAACAACAAAACATCGGGTCTATGAAACACAACATACTAAACAATCAACTAATGAATTAACTACACTAATAAGTACAGATTATAATGAAAAATTATTGAATGGATCAGAATGTGCAGAAGACGAAGAAAGTGACGGTGAAATAGATGAAGAAGATATCGATTTATTGAGGTGTTCAGAGTCACCTATACGTTTAACAATTAAATTGGATAGTGATAAAATGTTGAAAATAAGTCCAAATAATGAAGATAATAAAAAAGGTTTTATACCATTTGATATCAGTTTAAATGAATCAGAAGATGGTATACTAGAGAGTTTGTATAAATGTCCACTACCCAAACACTTGCAAGTGAGAATCATTTGAATTCCATGATATGAATCTAATCTACTGATTTATTTTATTAAAATGAAATTTTTAGCTATTAGAACCGTTAGATTGTACACTGAAATATACAACAGAAACGCTTATCGAGAAATTAGACAAGGCAGAAGAGAAACGGAAAAAAGTAGGTTTAAATTGCTTTGATAGGTGTGATGTACACCCTTTTCTTCCTCATTTTAAATGTTTATAATTGTTCAACACTTTTCATAATTATACCGAGATTGGGAGTGAGTTTACCTAAGGTGTTGAAATTACTTTCATACTAAAACATCTTAGATCTTTTAAGTTATACTTAAGACGCCTAAAATTGTCAAAACTTCTTAGACAGATAGTTACTGACTTTATGCACAAGTTTGAAGCTTTTCTGCTATCCAAACTTCTTGTTTATTAACTGACCTAACACATTGATCAATGAAAACAGCTCAGCATCCTCACCTAATCGTTTTCCTTGAAAAGTTATGTTCATAACAAGTGAATACCAAATTGTACTACTTAATGATACTTTGAATAGTGGGAAAAGTTAATATTCATAGCTGAAAATGATCTCACTCACACCTAAACTTACCACCGAAGAAGTAATAAATATAGATTTTTTTTACAGGCAGTCTTATAAAACCTTTAGACATGTGTGTTAGGCGCTTTCGCTACCACCAGTCTTGGCCAGGCATTTTACTAATTATTATTTATTACTATTCATTATTTTTCCTTTGGGTTCCTAGTGGAACATAGGGCTTCAGTAGCACATCCCCATTCCACTCTCTTCTCTCCAATCTTTTAAACCTCGCTCCACAACTGCTCACAACCTCTCGGTTCTTCCTCACACAATCTCCTCCATGTCACCCTTGCCTCGGACACCCAACTCGTCACTTCCAATCTGGGTTCCACTCGAGGGCCTGGCCTGACGCGTGATGTCCCCAGTTGGCCTTCTCAGTGTATGCCCAATACATCTCCACCTCCTTCCAATGCATATTTGTTGAGCGATAGGTTCTTGGTTGGTTCGTCACCACACCAGAGTTCCTCGTTGCTTATTCTTTCTCTTCCATCCATCTCAGCTTCAGTAACGAGCCAGCGTAGATAGTTGTTGGTGAATATTTGTAGTTTGTTGGAAATCGCTTTAGTAACGCGCCAAGTCTCTCAACCTTCACATAGAACCACTGACTTGACTGGCATTGGTGTTGGAAATCCTAATCTTGTTCAGGCTTTATGCTGAGTGCAGAAGATCTCCACACTGGTTTCAGGTTAATGAAGGCCTGATGAATCTTATTTATAAAGTGAAGCTTTCAAATCGATTCAGGTTGAAACTTGGAGTATAAAGAGTGAACTGATTAAGTAGGTAGTTACATCTTTGATTCAGAATACTGATAAAACACTGATACAAGACGAACGGACAGTTTCGTGTTTTTTGATCTACGTCATCAGCTGCAAATGGTACATTTCAGCTAAATCTGTCGTATATTGTGATTGTAAAAAATTCTTTTGAAGGTGAATGGAAGGACTGAGTTGCAGGCATATGAAATACATGTCTTCGAACTGTCGCCACATGCACACAGATAGAGCTAAGGTGGGTAAATCAGTCGTTGAAGTTTGGTTATTTGGGCCATTTAGTTTGTACACGTACCACTTACACCACAACACTATCCTGAACTGTAGTGCTGTTCATATCCATGTTACATGGAGAATATTTACTGGTGGTCAAATCAAGATATAACTTAATTCTATTCAGTCATTATATCCAGTCGAAGTTGTGTAAATAAATTCAGGATCTTAGAACTGACTTGCTGTATACCACAATACATGACGAAGAATATTTATAGCTCAGGAGGCAGATTTTGATGGCGATGTGTCCTGTAAGCTGAGTGGCTTAATCGTGAAGCTTTTATTGGCATTCTAAACAACGTCATCAGCACAAATTTCAGAAAGAAGTGAACTATAAGAATTTCTTCACAAGTGGCTCGGTGACTCATTCCGATGACACTGGATATGATTACTTGTTTCCGCTCTAACTTCCAAACGTACTTCGATTGACTATCCTATTACCCTAAATCACTACAGCCTAGAAACCAACAAAATTTAGTTGCACTGGGTTATGCAGGCCAAAAGACAACTGCCAAATGAGACAAACCCAATGTTATCCTATGAAATAAACCGCAGAGACAGTGAAAAACAATATCGGACAGGGTTATACCGCCCTTCGTGTTAGTTCACGTGGACAGTAAACATGAATGTTGCGTTGTGATATATGTTTGGTTATATCAATGCGTAGAAACAGTTGTAGATATTAATTCAACTAGAAAAGGGTGAAACCCTTCGATATAAGATTTACGAAAAAAGACTGGGGACTTTTTGAAGCTTGGCACTAAAACCAGTTAGTGACTAATAATACGGTAATAATACTAGAAGCTAATAACAGGTATTTATGGCAGACAAGGGACGAAGGCAATGGAATACAAGTTATCTGTCATCCGACGGTTATTTTCAGGATACGACAGTTATACTGAGCATTGAACACTTCGTGCGTTTAGTTAAATCATCAAGATTATATGGAGAACTTTAAATTGAATTGGCTAGGATTTGATATTACATCACTTGATATGTTAACCGTACAGAATTCAAAGATAAAGAATTCATCTATTGACTATAAAATATCAAAGTTAACATTGAAAATTGTTCCAAACTAATTTCAGAATGATGAACAGTGTTCAAAAACAAGCATAAAAGATGTTATACTAAAACTTAAAACTGAACTAATTTGCACAGAAGCAAAGATAACTACTGGACACTAATCAATAAAAGTTGATACTAAATATTCCTCTACTGATATTATAGTTACTACGGTGAAAAACTCAAAGATAATACTGTGTCATTATATTTAAGTAATCTAGAATAGTTAAATATGTTTACATCTACAGATAAAGTCGTATCAGTGGTTGTTGATTTCCACTGTTAGTTAAAATATTCAACTTGTCTTAAAAAGATGATTTTTATCAGACAGAATTAGATTCATGCTAGATGGTGGGAGGCAATTGACAGGAAGTCCTTCCTGTATGACACAGATTTTGAACTTGTTGACACTCGTCAATCAGCGAGGCGTATCTGTAATGTAGACATAAATGATATCCCCTGAGAGATGTGAACTTATGCTACCTAGTACTAGTGCTGACCTGTTTGAGATGAGAGTGTCTTAGCGTCAATTGAAATCATGCTAGTTTTTCAGGAAAATGTTTTTCTTTCAGACATGTAATGTGCCAGGAAATCAGTGTCATTTCATTAGCTTTACTTGCCATTTACTCATTACTATGAAGAGCTTAAAACTTTACTCCAAGGTACTATACATATAGAGACAATTTTTCTGTCCCATAACAGAGAAATGTATTCTCATCTAGATTCATACCACTGATGTAAATAAAAAGAAGACATTTGGAGCTTCTCTTTGTCAAACAGAGACTTATGGAGCGTCTACAAGCAATCAATAGAGTGAGTGCTCGTCATTTCCTGTTTATTGAACACGTTGTTGACTACATTAAATCATTCAAAATAATTAGCAAGGAGAAGCTTCAGGTAATTACATATTATTGAAGTCAATGATATCCAAAGGTTTAAACCTAAGTTATGCATTAAAAAGGGTGAAACTGTTAACTTTACACAGCTATTGTGATTACATTTCATCGAAATCCTCTTACGTCATCCTGACATTTGTTCCCTTCTACTATTCTATCTCGAAAATAGAAAGTTAAGAAAAATGCTCGAAGTCAGAAATAGATACAAAAATATTCTACTTTATTTGTTATTGTTCTCGCTGTATTCAATTAATAGCTTCGATTGGTCAGTAGGGAAAACCACTAAGCTGCTTGTGAAGAATTCCATATGATTCACTTTTTTAGTGATGATCCCGCCTCAAAATGAACCTGACAGTTTCTCCCTTGAACTGTCTCAAATAAAAAACACTAAAGACCGCCAACGAATAACTTTGTCAGTTGTACAACATTCAAGCTGATAGACGAGCATTTTATAGACAGTTAAGGACGAAACAATGTCGATGAGTAGAAATTCTTTAACAGGTTGTACTGTCTACCTAACTCTGGGTACTGGGTTTGAACCTGCCCCATCTATTGTATAATATCACAGACCATTAAAAAACAAGTAAAAATAACAGCTTAATGCTTAAACGTATGTAAAATGGTTTTAAAAATAAATAATGTTCCAGTTAACTGTTATGCTTGATTGTAGGCTCTCGAGTACTGGAAACAGAAGATGAAGAGAAGTGGCTTAACCAGTCACCCAACACATCACATGGGTGATATGTCAACAGAAAATCAGGTATGTCAGTCATCAATTTGTTTTGTCACAAACCGACTTTAGTGGCTTTAACATGACTGCTAGTATCCACTGGAAACACCATCCAGGTAATTCTGGAGTGAGATGGTGTTTTTAGACATAATGGAGATTGTAAATGATTGAATGGGATCGTCTTGAAACATTGGGGTTCTGTGACTCACACATGTGACACAAATGTCTTTCTAGCGTCTCAAAAACTACCCACTGTTCCCTTGCCCTACGTCTGGTTAAAAAGTGAGGAGATAGCCAGTGTATTACATGCAGCCGTTGTTTGAAACATAGTTGTATTTCGTTAGAATCTGTTGGTGCCTTAAGACTATCTGGATCATCTCTGGGAGGTTCCCCAACTCAGAGGCCTGATAAGTTGGCAGAAATGGGGAAGAATCGAAACCAGATGCAATCATGCTGAACACTGTCTTGCATAGCAGATGATCCAATTTTGAAATGGTGGGGAATATTTGTAGCTCAGGTGGATCGTGTTGGTTGTATTGTGTTCACTGAGCTGGGCTGTTTAGTCATGGAGCTTTCATCGTCTTGTTAAATGACACCATAAGCACTAACTTCAGTATGAAGCTACTGAAGTCAGTGCTGATGATGTCATTTAACAAGACGATGAAAGCTCCATGACTAAACAACCCAGCTTAGTGAACACAATACAACCAAGATGATCCAGTTAGTTGCTAAATCTAAGTATTTCATTAACTACTGCAATCATTTTAGATTCACCTTGAATGGAAATCCACTCAGCAACCTTGTGCAACTCCCTGCAGTAGGTAATGAGCCACACCTAATGTGTGAGATTTAATCCTACTACCTGACTGCCCACACCTCGGCAGGTGAAACAGTTATCTAACCAGCTACCCCCAAGACGAAAGTTAACTCCCTAAACCAAACAGCCGTAACTCCACACTTTTGTCCATGTTCACGAGAATCTAAGGTAAATAAAAGATATGTTACATGCTTGTAGGCAATCATAAGGGAAATGAGGTTTTGAGTTTCATTCATATTGTCCCCCTTCGGCAACGTTCAACTGCTAGCCCAAGGAAGTCAGTGATCTTTTCAGAAACTCAAGTTTAAGTTGCTCAGAGATACGATAACAGTTATTCAGACAACGGCTGACCACCTGTGGGTCTGGATTTGGTACACTAATTAGTCAGAAGACGACGACAAATTCCATGTTGATTATTTCAGAATGCTACGCATCAAATTAACTGACCTATAAACGTGACGCTGATTACCAACAGTTTGAACCTTCAAATTATGCACCTGCTCTTCTAAAATTTATGAACGTTCTTGTGGATGAATGGTACAATGCATAAAGCTCAGATGTCAAAAGTGCGGCCAATTATGTCTGAACACCTCATGATCAGTATATTCAGTTCCCCTGTAACTTACATGAACCTTCCGCTAAATTTTCTTCATACCCTCACACTGTCATCAATTTACTTCAGCTTTTAAGCCCATGTGGAAGAGATAACCACAAAGAATATCATCCTGTCTTCTGAAACTGTACTGCAGACTGGTATTTTATCAATTAAAGTCTATGCCTTGTGTTAAAACCAACGTAAGGTTTCGATCAAGGTCAAGTGAATATTGACTACATACGATTCAATCTTCATGTATCTAAAGACTTCGGGATGAATTATTGCTGTTTTGCAAGCGTAAGTAAAGCGAAAACGTTTCGGACATGAATCGCACCGTGAAGCTATCAGTGCGTGATCTGCTTAAACGACACAGTAAAAATTAAGAGGGATGTCCACGCATACATTTATTTTTCTGCCTCGACGTTACCACCCACTCACCGGATGTATTGTGCCATAAAAGGCTCGTTTTGAAGAAAACTGAAAAAGCACTTGCTGTTAGCCGAACTTTCAGCAACTCCAGTGCACAAGTACTCTCGCAATCTTACCTCTTTGAACTAACAGTAATGAATCCTCACCAAATTCGTGCTCAGGTAACCACTCACTCATAGACAGTATGAATGATTCAAGACACACTAATAACAACATCAATGAGGCAGGGTCCCAGCGATACAGAAAGAACAAAAAGCAGAATTCTGAGTAAAGAATCTAATTCAGACAAAGGGAATTGTGGATCCATGTCGATTACAACGGCTGTGATATAATAAACATATAATCCCTGAACTTATCTTTGCATTAAGTCCTGTCTGCAGCAAGAGTGAGTCGGGCTTGTCAGCAATTCGTTTGGCAATTGATAGGTGGTCTGAGTAATGTGAGGAGAGAAAAAAATTGTCCCATTTAGCTGCATTCATCAAAAATGTAGCACAACGATTGATTTGTCTCTTTTCAACTTCGTTAATGTTTTGAACAAACTGTATATATCATTTCAAGTTATTTCAATGTACCTATGCTTCAATTAATTTTCTCGCCTTTTGATGCAATAGGACAGCTTAACTTGCAGCAGCGCGTAAAGATGTCGTTCATTGGATTGAGCAGTTACCTTCCAACCAATGAGTCTTAGAATCGAGCTCCCTTCCATCTACTTCGGTCTCGGCGACCCATTAGTTTCATAAGGTTTAACACCTAAGAAAGACACCTGTACCAGATTGAGTTCCATTAATGGCTTATGACTCCAGTTGACAGTTTGGAGAGTCCACTCACATTCCACCTAGATTCCATCTGCGAAAGCAGTAAGAACCAATCTCCTCCAGCAAGATTCAACTCAAAAGTAAGGAAAGTCATAATCATACAATCCCACCCTACGCACCTACAAATAATCCGGATCAAGAGAACAGGGCGGAATTCTACAAACAACCACAATCAACACTGGACAAGACTCCGTTTGCAGACATCAAAGTTCTAATGGGTGACATGAATGTCAAAGTGGGAACAGATAACACAGGAAGAGAACTAATCATCAGTCGAGAAACACTCGGTTAAATGAATGGAAATGGAGAACTGTTTGCAGAAGTCTACACTTGTGATGATTTGGTGATTGGAGGTAGTGTTTACAAGCACAAGGATATTCACAAGGCAGCGACATGGATTTGATTTCACCAGACATCAGGAAACACTACATTAAAAATCAGATCAACTTCATTTCAATGTGAAGGAAGTGGAGACGCAGCCTACTGGACACAAGATCAGATCAAGAAGAGTAGCAGATGTAGGTTCACATCACTCACTGTTTAGTGCAAGGAACCTACCTCCAAAATCAAGTTGAAAGCCTTCACAGAAGCTGGCGATAGACCACAGTTCAAGTTCAACAACCACCAAGAACAGAAACTGAACTGAAGGATGAAACTACAAAGGACATCTTCACGTCAGTCAGCCATCAGGAGAAAATGGGCGACATTGAGCAACATCCCTGAAGGAATCCGAGTGGAAGAACACTGGAACTCTCTGAAAGAGTTGTGGAAAGAAACCTGCATAGCCGTGTTACGAAGGAAGAAAAAACAGGACAAGGAATGGATCTCGACGAACACATGGAAGCTGGTAGAGAAGGGAGTGGAAGATGGTGAAGTAGAAGATGAACCAATGGAGTGTAGTGTAGGCATGAACAACGAAAAGAGGAAATGAACACAACGTTTAAAACGCTACACTGGACAAAGTAGTGAAAAGGAAATCGTGCAAAGACAAAAGACACTTGTGCGACACATTTTGCAAGTGAAGCAGAACAGGCTGCAGGTAAGAGAGACCTGACAACATTATATAAAATAACCAGGTTACTATCTGGGAGGGTAGATATCAACACAGATGAGACCAGTGAAAGATGGTGAAGGAAACCTAGTTACCAGAGAGGAGAACCAAAGGAAACGATGGGTTGACCACTTCGGAAAACTCTTGAACCGACCACCACCACCACCACTACCACCACTTCCAACTCTTCCAGAAATACCACCAGCAGAACAACCACAGAACTATCTACAAACACAAACTCTGAAACAAAAGCAGAAGTGAATTCCTGAACCCCATAAACTAGCTGAACTGCGGGAAAGCAGCAGGTCCAGATGGAATTCCCCAGAAGCACTGAAAACAGACATTGAGACATCAGCAGATATGCTCACACCACCACTGCAGAAGATTTGGAAGGAAGGAAGGAAGGGTACCTGCCGATTGGTTGGAAGAAGGAATTCCAAATAAGGGTGACCTAAGTCTTTGCAAGAACTGCCACGGAATCATGCTCCACTCCTGAAAACCCTAAACAAAATATTGAGCCGTATCATCCTGGGGAGACTGAAGAATCCTCTCCATTCAAAATTACCACCAGAACAAGCTGGCTGGCTGGCTGGCTGCTGGCTGGCTGGCTGGCTGGCTGGCTGGCTGGCTGGCTGGCTGGCTGGCTGGCTGGCTGGCTGGCTGGCTGGCTGGCTGGCTGGCTGGCTGGCTGGCTGGCTGGCTGGCTGGCTGGCTGGCTGGCTGGCTGGCTGGCTGGCTGGCTGAGGGTGACATAGAGGAGATGGTGTGAGGAAGAAATGAAAGGTATTTGGATTGGTGGAGTTATGTTAAAGAGAAGGAGCGCAGAGAAGAGAGTGAAATGGGAACGTGCTACTGAAGCCCTAAGTTCGACTCGGAACCTAAAGGACAAATAATAATAATAATAATACTTATGACAGTGCGTATGAATTTACCTAGCTTTCCATATGTACTTTAATAAAAGATGTTCATATTTGTGAAATATGGCTCAAATGCTGTCTGTGGAAGGGTTTCAGAAATTTGACAGGAAACAGACTTTAGTCATAATTAACATCTTTTACTCAAGATCAGCGACTACTGGACTGTTCTTTTGTTTTACCTTTTTACTTTCTATATCTTAATGAACGTGCAAAATAAACGCTGAACTAACTAACATAACTTTTTATCCAACCAAATAATTTATGAACTTTAAAATATATTTCCGGTTGTTTTTCATTTTTAGTCGATGAGCATTCAAACAGTCAGTGAAACAGAAGGTATGCATATAAAAACTAAGGGACTATTTGATAAAATAAGTGAGATATATTTTCCTGGATACGTTTAATGTTCAAAATCTTTTCTCAGATAGTCAGTCAATTTCAAACTGGGACTTGGCATTGCTGCATAACCATTCAAGTTGCGAAAATTTGTATGAGCACATTAAAATATGGCGAAGAAGGATGAATGACAGGGAAATAGGGAAGCAAGATTTAATTGGAACTCACGGAAACTCGTAAGAAGAGAAAAAAGCCAGCAAAACAATAATCAAGTGCGATTTTGACTGTCAAGTGGACTCTGATCAAGAAGTCTACATTCTTTGTACGTGACTGAAGTTAACAGTTACAGACTTCAAGGACTCAAACTTAATTTGAGTATGCTCACCATTAACCTTTTGCTGCCTTAACCTGCTTCATCTATTGCATGAATACGTAACACACGTCCCAGCCATCTTTGACAACGAAAGTTTACAATCCGATAAATTGACTTACTTCTTTTCTCTAGAAATCTACGCTTGACCTGTGCTTTACCGTTTACAGTAAAAACTGTTGGAAGGCGAAATCTAAACAACGTCTGACTTAAAAGTTCACTGACAGCTGATGAAAACTGTGCACAGGAGTATGGAAAAGCTAAATTAGTTTAGTACGATGCGGTTAGACGGTTAGAAACTAACCCCCCTCCCCCCCCCCCCCACCAGGACACTTATTTCCATTGTCTATCGTATTCTCTACTCATCCCCTTATGTTTTATTCCTGTTTGTGAATTACTCTCTGAGTTTTTCTTTCATCGATGTTGGAAAGTTTGGCAACCTGAACATATGTGGTAGTCTAGCAGTTTCAGTGATGAATGATTAATTTGTAAATTATTTACAAATTAAACAGGTCATGGTGATATTTCTCACAAGTGACCATGCGTGTTTCCGTCGGAAAATACGTCGTCAACACCTCTGACACAAAATGTGTCATGAACTGACGAAATATACTAGTGAGCACCGCGATTAGGTAGAAACCAATTTGTAAATAGTTTACGTAAACGTCAGCCTACTTAACATGTGCCAGTCCATCCAAGTCAAATAGCATGATTCAGTTGATGTGAACCATTCAGTTGTGTGAACCGGATTCGTCTGGGTACACCGTTGATGATTTGGGGTGCAAAGGAGCGAAACAGTCATCTAGTACTTGGATCACTCTGATATAGTTAGTAAATCTACAAATCAGACTGAGTGCTTTCTAATTACGTATTTCGTTCAGTAGTGTTTCGAAAATAATTGAATTTCTTCTAATTCTGTTCGAAGCACTGATCTCTAGAAGTCAAGTCAGGGCGATAACTTTCATATACTATTTAGGCATCTCAGAGTATTTGTTCTAGTTTCAACATTCCGATTTTTTAACAAGAATTATCGAGCAATACTGCTGATACAACTGTAACAGAAAATGTTGTTCTCCTCCTATGGAAATGAACCCGACTTGGTTTCCACTAAAGTGTTTCTCCTTCCAACTGCATTCAGAATAAGATACCAAAGTCAGTAGATTAAGTTCTGTCAAAGTTAAGAGTCTTTCATGCCACCATAAAAGGACGAAACCTATGGCTTTTCTGCTGAAGATATTAGACCAGGAAAGGTGTAAACTGAAGTATGACAGTTACAGACAGCCATTTCACAATGGCCTGCATTGTCGTCCGTTACATTTTCCAGGACAAATAGACAGCCTTTAGTGATACTCACTATGAAATACACCCTTGGAATCCGTATATCCTCGATCTTTGAAGCTAGTTGGTGAAGTAGTAATGCTGAAAGTGAGACAATTCTGTACACTGTATGGCAAACCCAGAACAATTAACTGCTCAAAACCATGGCTCTATGTGCTGATCGAAATTTATTGACGAAGTTTGCAAAGCTAAGTGGAATGACGTCGTTGCATGCTACCGGTCGATCATCAGATTGACGTATTTTAACTAGCTTTCATGGTTGTTGACACCCATCAGCTACGCATGTACACAACCTTGAAACAAAATAAGATTCACCAATGCATAACCTTCTACAACAATGTACGAGTTCAAGTCAACAGACTTCTAAACGATTTATTAGTAGATTCACTCCAATCCAATCCACCTTTGGTGAGTCGAGAGAAGAAAAGATACCAGGAAAGATACCAGGAAACCGACCTACTGGAATAGATACATGGACTTCAAGCCATCTCACCCTATATCTGTCAAGGCAGGTTAGGTTTAATGTCTAAGTAATCGTACTAGGAGTATGACAAGTAAGCCAGAAAATCGAAATGAGGAAATCAAACATACCCAATAACTACTATTCGGAATTTATTTAAAGTTTTTAAGAGGACTTAAAAGAGAGAGCAGTAATATAAGTGGTATCCGCAACACACCTGACAGGGAATTCAAAAACTCTGTAGTACTGCAGTACAAAGAAGGCACATTAGAAAGTCTACCTAGAATTCTTAGCAATGCTTAGATTAGAGTAGCATTCAAGCCCACAAATACACTCAAAGAGAAACTTTTCTAGGTTACGACACCCAGCAGATGCAGTTAAGTAAAATAAATTAGTCTATCAAATATCATGTAATGACTGTAAGGTAAAGTATGTAGGTGAGAGTAGCCGATCGAAGTTATTCAGAACTGCACAGCAGAAAAATTGAGCTAAATACAGAATGATAGACCTTACCAGCAGAAGTAATTTAAAGAAAAAAATTGGTTATCTCTCTCCATATCCTGACTAATGATCATTTCATAGGATGGAGTTGAAACGTCATTCAGTAATTAATGTCGTATAATTCACTGTTTGCTAAATCAAATAAGTAATCTAATAAGGAGTTATGCTCTACTAAGTTGCCCTAACTCAAACATTATCTTGCTGTAACATTAATAACGCCTAGATCACTTAAAACACAAGGGACCAACAGAACTTCTTAATCTGGCTACCGACAGTTCTATTCTAAATTTATCCATTTTCAGAGACATCGTGTTTTCAGGTAGGTAGAGACCCACCAGTTTTATGAAATTTTCAATCTATGACAGTCGGCAAAGAATCATAACTTAACCTACCTTCCTGATACCCTAACCTTAGCCTTGATTGCAAGGTGATTCCATCACACTGCAGCCATACATGCGAAAAAAGGCATCTACCGTCAAAGACCTGAAGCTCCCAGAACTTTGAAACTTAATTATCGAGATTTTCTGAGTAGGCTAAGGGACGTCATGTCACCAAGCTGGAAACACAGTGGTTGCTGGTCGAAATCCACCATGGCCAAAGTTTTTAATTCGACTTAAATAACCACCTATTATCAATACTAGTCTGCCGAACTACGGTTATCTCATTCGTCAAAATGATATCACGATAACTTCACAACTTTGCGACATGATTTATATAGTTCTAATTTTCTCTCCTCCGTTGTGATATGGATTTTGCGTATATCCGGAACAGGAACGATTCAGAACCCGTTCCGGATATACTGGAAAGGATGAACTCTACGAGAAACTATCAGTGTTGCTACATAAAACAAAATGTTCTTGTTTTGTCATAACAGCTGGAGACTTCAAAGCTCAAGTGGAAAGGTTGAGCTGAAACACCAGGAGAGGCATTTTGCAGATATCTGCGGTATCCTATAGAAACGAACCATCAGCGGTGATTCTCTCTTGCAATGCTGTTCCAACAATCATTTGTTTGTGGCATAGGGAGCGATACCGTCTCACTTGGCGTCCACCAATACCAAACTGCCGACAGACATAGATATATCATATTGTTGTAAGCCGCCGTTGGATGGGATTGGTGGAGGATTATCCCTCTTTATGAAGTAGATCGTTAAATCCAGGATAAAGCTTGAAGACTGGTCTACACCTACTTCTGTTTTAAAGATAGGGAGTGAAGTGGTGGAATGTGTAGACCACTTCACTCACTAAGAGAGTTGCATCAAACCCAATCGGCCACTTCCTAGTGAAATCTCATCTCAGATGCAGAACGCCCATTTCACACTTCCCAGCTCACATCATCTCAGACAGTGAATCGTGGGGAATTTAACTATTTATCAAAGGACGAGTATACTGCACTGCAGTCTATTCTCTCCTGTTATATGGCTGTCAAACATGGTCATTGAAAGTGGAATATATATGAAGCGGTTACAGTGTTTTGATCACAAATGTCTTCGTAGCATTGCTCACATTTGGTGGGATCACTGTGTGGCCAGTGCTAGGGTCAGGTGAAGGGTATCAGGCAAGACAGTTAGTTGGTGAGATTGTGAGCCTTCATCGGGTGACGTGGTTTGGATATGTGATTCGCATGCCGAGTGACTGCCTATCTCAACGTGCAGCACTGGCAGAAGTTGGATTAGGGTGGAAGAGCGTTCAGGGTGGCAAGACCAAGACATAGCACCAGCCGATGAAGTACTTGACTGTTGATCTAAGCATTTTAGGGAAATTCAGACCATCTGACTGGGGTCCTCGAGAGGAACAGAAATCAGTGGTTGTTGACCCATAGTAACATGGCTGAAAACCAGTCACGGTGGGGCAGATGTGTTCACTCCATGACGTCTTATAAAGGTCGAATATTTGCTCTGACCCTCATTTCCATGTAGTTTCTCATTTTATATACCTTTAACTTCTTTGCTATCAATCGTTTTCTGTCTACTTATTCTTTGCATGATGCCAAGAATTGTATCAACTTGAATTAATGCACTTGTGTGCAAGGTTTGGCGTTGATTTTGCATCTCTGTCTGTTAGTCTGGCACTTTGAGATGATGCATTTGTGTGCAAAATCCTCCGTTAATTCCTTTCTTCTACTCTGGTAAATAGTTGGACAAATTAATGTAATGCATTACAATGTGGCGTTTTTCATTGTTCGCTACACGTTATCTGTTTGTATGTGCAAAGTTCATTCACATTATCTTACATTTCAGATGTTCTAAACTCTACAGTAGATGAATGCCCCCTTAAAGACGAGAATGAAGAGCAGTATGTAGCTAATCAGTTGAGTAAAAATTCACCCAGTGCTGATACGTATTCACCAGTTTCAATGACAATGTCACTGGTGACAATGACAACAACGCCAACAGGGACACGAACAGAATCACAACAGAGTACTGAAAAGATAAATCAAAGCAACAATAGCAGTAATAATATTGAAGATCATTTTATCAAACTGTTATCATCAGATAGAAGTGAAAAAATGACTTCATCAGTGAATCAGTTGGCAAACGCATATGGTGATTTAGAACAATCAAGTAGTTATAATTCATCATTGTTACCTGGACACATCTGCAAAAACTATCTCCTGTATACTTTAACAGAGGAAGATATTGAAGACAATGTCGCACATGATGACGATAATAACAAGAATGATATTCCTCAAGACAACATTGATGATGACAACAGTAGAAATATAGAAGGGGAACTGCGTAAAATTGAAACAAGTCTAGAAGTTTATACAAGCAAAATATCATTTCCTAACATATCAAACAGGTAATAAGCATCGATTCACTACTGTTACAAATAAAAACAATTATATCATCCTAAAGACAGATAATAATTAAAAAAGGAAATTGTGCAATGTGTTTTAAAAAAATTTGCATAGAGACGTCAGTTGTTCAACGAATCGTTTCTTGTCCTGTTTCTGTTGGTGAATGTATACTACCAATTTATTGTTAGTAGTATTATATTATCATTATCATTATCATTAGACTCCCAGTATTAACTATGTCAGCTTATCATGTGAAATATGAGTCAACTTGTTTGCAAAAATGATAGCTTCGGTTGTCGTATCATTACTGTTAAAATTACAACTTTCAGTGTTATCTACATCCCTCTTTTCAGTGTATTTTATCGTAAACAGAGAAATAAAAAAGGTGAAAAAGACAACAAAACAACATTAACAACATTGATAACATTGAACATAACTTAAAAGTGTGTGCAGATAACATTCTGTAGATATTTTGTATCATATCCACTTAAACAAAATAACATTTATTGAATACTGAAAGAAAGCCTGCCAAGAGAAGTCGACAAAACCAAGTATTGAAAACAGAAATAAAATATAAAGCAACTGGTCCCTTTGATAAATAAAATAAGTTGAACAATCGAAACAGTGGACATGTGAATAAAGTAACAGGATAAACAACTTAAATCCCACCTGGCTGTGATCCTCACCTATTTGCAAACTCAGACCTACTGTAAAGCATTGTATAATTGACATTGTATTCAATGAATCATTCGACAATGAATCATTATAGACAAAAATTAACTTTACTTATGAGGAGCATATGACCACAATGAGTAATAAATAATACAAAATATTTGTTTATTTTGTTATTTGTTCTAATATACTACGCCGGGATTACACAAGTAAAAATACACCTTATACAATGAATCATACTAACTTGGTGCCAAAGTTTTTTTCAAACCATCCAGTCCATTGTTGGTCAGGATACCTTTAAATAAAACGTCTGTTTCTCTTTCTCCGTGTATCTTATATTTATCGTCTTCGAACATTCATAGCCACCTTGATAAAACTAGAATTTCTGGATTCAAAGAAACTATATGCACGAAGAAGCGCCTTGGTAGTGGTTTATAACTAACCATAGAATATCCAACTAGAGTAAGTAAAATGTTTATTAACTGGAGTTAATTGAAAGATAACCGCTTAACAAGTCAAGTGTCCAACCTCAAAATGCTGATATCAACATATATAAGGCCTCCAAGGACGATTGTACAGAAAATTGTGCCCACAATGCACATAGGCTACATTTAGACAACTTCATCCTCTAACTTTTAAAAAAACATCCAATAACAAAAATGACATAACCTGTACGTTTGTAAATCTCTGAAGCATTATTACTATTATTATTTATATTATTATTCGTCCCTTGGACTCCTAATGGAACATAGGGCTTCAGTAGCACATCCCCATTCCACTCTCTTCTCTCCAATCTTTTAAACCTCGCTCCACAACTGCCCACAACCTCTCGGTTCTTCCTCACACAATCTCCTCCATGTCACCCTTGCCTCGGATGCCCAACTCGTCGCTTCCAATTTGGGTTCCACTCGAGGGCCTGACCTGACGCGTAATGTCCCCAGTTGGCCTTCTCAGTGTATGCCCAATACATCTCCACCTCCTTCCAATGCATATTTGTTGAGCGATAGGTTCTTGGTTGGTTCGTCACCACACCAGAGTTCCTCGTTGCTTATTCTTTCTCTTCCATCCATCTCAGCTTCAGTAACGAGCCAGCGTAGATAGTTGTTGATGAATATTTGTAGTTTGTTGGAAATCGCTTTAGTAACGCGCCAAGTCTCTCAACCTTCACATAGAACCACTGACTTGACTGGCATTGGTGTTGGAAATCCTAATCTTGTTCAGGCTTTATGCTGAGTGCAGAAGATCTCCACACTGGTTTCAGGTAAATGAACACCTGTCTTGCTGTCTTTCCGATCCTGGCTGGCTCTGACGTCCTCGTCTGTGCCTGTGCCGCCTGTAGTTGAAATAGTGCTGCCGAGATAGGTGAAACAGACTACTTTCGTTAAGTTTCTCCCGTTGATGGTGATTGGAGCTTCTCGTTGTTGTTGTTGTTGTTTGGGTAACATCATCACCTCTGTCTTCTCTACGTTCACCTGAAGTCCCGTCTTCCTTCACTGCCCTACCTCTTCCGTCAACTTGTTGGATTTTGCCTGTAGATCTTCACGTTTGTGCGACACTAGACACAAGTCATCATCGGCGAAACCAAACTCTTCTAGGTTCTTTTCCGCGGTCCAGCCAGCGTATTCCCCTTTTCTCGCTCCCCACTGTTTGTTGCATGATCCAGTCCAGTCAGCCACAATCAGGAAGATCATCGGTGATAGTAGGCAGCCTTGTTTTACTCATGTCTTCACTTCCAGTGCAAAGGCATCACTGAGCTTCCCATTGTGAATTACTTGGCTGGCATGTGGCGTCTTCATACAGCTGTTGTTGAATGAGATTGATAAAGGTTTGTGGTATTCCGTAGTATTGAAGCAACTACCTGCCAGCTTACTTCTCGGTCGACGCTGTCGAAGGCTGGCCTTTTCAAATTCGATGAAGTTGAGGTAGAGTTGAGTGAGTTGCCTGCCATTCTATACTCTGTTCTATGATGATGCGTAGCGTAGCGTTGCGATTTGATCCGCACATGATTTGTTCTTCCTGAATCCAGTGCATCCTTTAGTCTCTCCAGGATGATGCGGCTTAATATTTTGCTGACTTGGGGTGGACAGGATCATGATTCCGAGCCAGTTCTTGCAAACAGTTAGGTCGCCCTTCTTCGGGATTTTGACAATCAGTTGGCAGGTACCTTCCCTTCCTTCCTTCCTTCCTTCCTTCTAGACCCTCTGCAATAGTGGTGTGGTGTGAGCATGTCCACTGTTGTCTCCGCGTCTGCTCTCAGTGCTTCTGGCGGGATTCCATCTGGTCCTGCTGCTCTCCCGCAGTTCAGTAGCCTTATGGCATTCAGGGTTTCGCTTCGGCCTTTGTCGGAGGGCTTGTGTTCACTGGTAGTTCTGTGGCTGTGGTGCTGGTGGTATTTCTGGACGAAGTGCAGGTGGTGGTCGATTCCAGAGCTTTTCGAAGTGGTAAGCCTATCGTTTCCTTTGTTTCTCTTTTTGGTAATTAGATTCCCTTCATCGTCTTTTATTGGTTTCATCTGTGTTGATATCTTCCCAGATAGTGAACGGTTGAACAATGAATATAAGATATCATTGTTGATTGTCTGTTGGTGAACCAATACGCATCCACGACTGGCTGGGGATCAAACTCGGAACCTACGGGTTTAACGGCGGCGAATAGAACAAGCATTCAGATAGATATTTTGTCACATTCTCGTCAAGTTGAGTGTAACCTCTGGGTTATAAATTATTGCACGGAAAAGGTGAACATAGATGATGGTTTGATAAATTTGAAGTGTTACAATTCAATGCTGGTCAGTTGGTCAGTCAAATCCTGATGAACTTGATTTGTTAGTTGATGAGATTTAGAATTGATGTAATCAGATCGAAACAAACCCAGTTGACTGTAGGAAAAGATAAGCTATGATTACAGCAAAGAAAACATTTTCTTTTCAACGGAATCATTTTCTTAGCTGTACATTCATGAATATACAGTAGAAAGGATAGAATATTCCAGTGTGATTTCCGGTCAAAGGTCAATACGAACTGCATAACAGAATAAAGTTATGCGATCATTATAAGCGACTAAAATGGGGAAATAAGTAGTTATTACAAACAAAAATAATTATACCAGATAGGAATTATCTGGAGTAATCGACCCTCTACGTCGGTCTCGACAGAGATGGAGTTTGTACATACTATTTTTGAGTGCATAATGATGGTTTGAACTTTGGAATTGTTAATGCTTCAGCTATGTCCAAATGTGTTAACCTCACTGCTTTAGCGTGTCTTCGTCATACTTTGTTCAGAATGTCGAAGGACTTATCAAAAAGAGCCAAATGTGCTGAGTTTACTAAGTATTCTGCTACAGAGCTGAGGATGCATTCCCGTTCTTCTCTTGTCAGCCAAGTTGGGTAGTGTTCACGAGCGCATAGCATAAGCTGTTGCATGGTACGGTCGATGTAATTGGCTTCACAGGAGCAAGTAAACTTATATACACACACTGATGTAGCCCTATGCCTCTGGTTATCCTTTGTGTACTGATAAATGAGTTTCTGAGAGAAGAATACGGTTTTAAAATCGGTGTCAAAGAAAGCGCTGTTTATGGATCTTGATAGTCTTTTTCTGAGTATTCCTGCTGCATTATCTTACTTGAATTCGATATTCAATGGTAAAATCTTTCTCCGGATAGTATGCAAGGGTTCCCTTGGCGTTTTTCGGCTGTAGATTATTATCTATAAATCTCAGTGGGTACCCTTTTTTTTATAAGGAATCCTCGCAAGTTTTTCATAGTTCACCTTCAATGGTATCTTCCGTGCATATTCTTCGTACTCTTAAGAAGAGTGAATTGATAAGATTCGTATTCCTGCTTAAGCAGACACAGCTTTGAAAATTAAAAAACTGTCCGTTCCAAGTAGGCTTTCTGTTGAATTGTCATCTTTTGTTTTGAAGCTGATTATCAAGAAAGTGAAATGTCGGGTTAGACTCTTATTCTACAGTGAAGTTGATAAAGGAATGAGCACTGTTGAAAGTTTGAAGCAGGTTGTCTAGTTTCATACTCTCGTCACAAATAATAGAGGAATCACCTACGTATCTTTTGTTAATATGAAGCTCGTTGATTACTATTTTTGATAAAGTTGCTTTCCAAGCTTGCCATGAAGCAGTCAGCTAGGAGGACTCCTGCAGGCGATCCTACTGCCATACCACCTACCTATCTGTAAATTTCGTTGTTAAATCTGAGGGACACATTGAAAGTATATCTGAGAAGAAGTTCTTTTAAATACTGATTTGGGATATCATTACTTAAGTTAAGGTACTGAATGGCGTTTAAACAGAAAACAAGTGGTTTTCCGTTAGTGGGATTTTGTGAATAGGTGCATGATATTCAGAGAAATTATCCTCTTCCCTGATAGCTTGACAATCTTGATTAAGTCAATGAAGTGAAATGTGTTACGCAGACTTTGTTTGAAAATTGCATTCTTCATTGGGTCCAGTGAATAATTCGACTGTGACCAGTGCCTGAATTTTGTTTAAAAGTAGGAATAATAGAACTGTAGTTGTAGGCTTGTCGTCATCACATGTTTTTACCGTGTATTTATTGAATTTATTTGAAGCCTGACAGGCTTGCTTCAAGATCCATATTTCAGCATTCAAAGTTTTCTGAATCAACGCTTTTAGTGGTTAGTTGGAAAATTGGTGAAATATATTGTGATCAATAATACGAATCACGTCACTGATCAGTTCGGTTAGCTGGAAGTCACTCAGACGTATCAGAAACAGCAAAGTGTTACAACAGATTAGATCACGTTGAACACATCTCTATTTGCTAAATTTGGACTATACAGCTCTTGCACCCGAAACTCTGTACATACACACACACACACATACCTATTTTGAACCACTGACAGGAACACGTTCTCACACGTTATATTATTTCAAATTCAAAGAGCTCACTTAAATGGTTGGAAGTATTTCCATTTAGTCAGGTTTAGCTGCAGTTTGCTCGTATGGGATGAAATCTCTTGGATAGCAAACTGGTGTCAAAAAATTGATATGACATGCAATCTACCACAGCGTCTGGGTGAATTTTAGCAGTCAAATTCGGTTGAATACTCATAGAAGAAAGCACTCCAGTCAATGGTGACTGGGTGTTTGAAGCTATGGTTGCTGGTTCAGTGTTTCACACACACATCCTG